CCTACTCATTTGCTGCTGCGTTTCTTGAAAGAGTTGTCTCCTGGCCCTCCTGCCTCCTAGTCATGCTCCTCTCCCCACTCTCCACCCACTCGCTGCAAAGGTCAGGGGCTTTTAAGCCTCCACTGAATAGAAACTACCACCCGCTGGAAAGCTGGTGATAGGCCATGGGTGAAGAGGAGGTGGCTGCTGACAGAAGACAAGTATAACCAGGTGCACCACCTCACACAACCTCCGTCCTTAGAATCAGAACTTGTCAAAATCACACAACCCTTGAGTTGGAGGGGACCTCAGTGGTCACTGTACCCTTCCTCTTCCTAACCCACACCTCCTGACCACTCATCTTCACAACATCCTCTCAAATCCCTGTCCTGCCAAGACAGAACCTTCCCAAACCTTTTCCAGATCAAATCTCTCCCACTCTGCTCCATCAGAAATCTAACTTTTTTTTTTTTTAAACAGTCTCCCTCTGTCACCCAAGCTGGAGTGCAGAGATATAATCTTAACCTCTACCTCCTGGTTGCGGCTCATTGCAACCTCCACCTCCACCTCCTGGGTTCAAGTGATACTCATTCCTCAGCCTCCTGAGTAGCTGGGATTATAGGCACCTGCCACCATGCCCAGCTAATTTTTTGTATTTTTAGTAGAGACGGGGTTTCGCCATGTTGGCCAGACTGGTCTTGAACTCCTGACCTCAGGTGATCCTCCTGCCTCAGCCTCCCAAAGTGCTGGGATTACAGGCGTGAGCCACCACGCCTGGCCAGAAATCTAACTTTGCTCAGACCATTCTGCTTCCAGCTTTCTCTCATACTCACCAAGGGTCCTCCCTCTTCCCACATCCAACAACGGAATTCATCATTCGTCTACCCCTTCTCTCCAGCAACCTCGCCAACTGTCCACCCTAACACCCTCTTGCTGGGCCTTGTCTCTTCTCCTGGCTCCTCCCCTGCAGTCACTTTAAATGCCTGCCCCCAGGATGCAATCCGAGGCGGCCACAGAGTCTCCCTGTGAGAGCGCATCCATACCGAGGGCTTTGACACACCCTGGCCACAGGACTCCAGGCCAGAAAACTACGCCTTCCTAGACTTTGCCTGTATGAGGGAAAGGCACAGAAGACCTGCATGCTCTCAGCCTGCTTCTTCCGCCTGGCCCTGCTGGTCTGTCACTTCGTTTGGTTGGTCCTGATTTGTATTCTTTGTAACACTGATTACAATGATAATTTTTGTAATTAGAGCACTCTTCTGAGTTCTGTGAGTCATTCTAGCAAATTAGCAAACCTGAGGGAATCGTGGGGAACATCCAATGCAGTCAGTTGGTCAGAAGTGCAGGTGGCCTGGGGCTCTCCAGCACATGGGGGGCATGGGAAGTAAGGGCAGTCTTGTTGGAGACTGTGCCCTCTAACCTGTGGGGTCTGCACCAACTCCAGGTGGCGTCAGAATCTAATTGCAGTACACCTAGCTGGGTTTTTAGCAGAATAAAGTACCTACTGTGTGCCAGCAACTCAACTGGGAACTGCGTATACTGTCCTTAATGGAGCACCGTGTCCCACCTGCCACATCCTAGAGTTAATCATAAGGAACATGCCCGTGTTGAAAATTCCTAATAAGTATCTGTTTTAAGTTCTGAACCTGAACAAACCTACCCGTCCTGGTGAGGGTGAAGACTGCTGTACGCTCAGTTCTTTCAGGCAGTGGTTCTTACTGACACCTCCTGGAAGTGGCTGAAGGGAGTCTGTCACTTGAAATGAACTTCAAAACAGAGCTAAAAACTTTGTGTGGACTTCCTCACTTGTACCCAGTCCTCAGATTCCGGAGGTGGAGGAAATGAATTCTGAGGCACAGAACAGTACAAACCTCCCAGGGTCTCACTGGCTTGGCAGAGCTCTGTGGCCACTGGTCAGCTTTGAAGCCCACTGCACACCACCAGTGGGGCTGCCTCCAGTGTTTTCCTTCCATCTCGTGGGCAGGCATATGAATTCTTTTTTAAGTAGTAATCATTATTTAAAAAAAAAAAAAATCCTCCAATGGAACAGAAATCATCTTAGTTCTGCCATTATGGTTGTAAACATAAGATTATTTCCAGAACAATGTTTCATGTCACCTGAGAGCAAAATTTCAGTATCAGGCAAGTTCAACATGGCAATAAAATGACAGTGTAAGAACTACTAGAATGACATGAAACATCACAGTTTCAATGTTTGATACTCAAGTGAATTTCCAGTGATGGGCTATGTGATGACCTCACAGAAATACAAACAGGACAGGCTCTGAGGGGCTTCTACAGAACGTGCTCAATCCCACAAATGTTCCATTTGGGCTCTTAATCTGCTTTGCAAATGCAAGACACACCCAGGCTCCAATATGGTGCTCGCACTTGACTATCACAGAGCATTTTCAAAGTGAGCTCCTGAGACTGTCCTGGCCACAGCAGGGATGTGGGTCCCCCACCTCTTTCTCTGCTTCTAGAGATTGTGTGTATGTGTGTGTGTGTGTGTGTGTGTGTGTACATATAACTTGGAAGCACCAATTGAACATGAAGCCCTAAAAGGTCTTTTCCTTCTTCCCAGAGAATAAATGAATTGTATGTGGAATCTAAACAAAACCACAAATTTTCAAGTTAGAATTAGAACAAACTGCTTCAAAATCAGAATCATTATCCTATCAACCAAATCACTTAAAGACTTCCAAGGGGGGAGGGATTGCAATGGGAGATAAACCTGATGTAAATGACGAGTTGATAGGTGCTGACAAGTTGATGGGTGCAGCACACCAACATGGCACAAGTATACATATGTAACAAACCTGCACGTTATGCACATGTACCCTAGAACTTAAAGTATAATAATAATAAAAAAGACTTCCAAAAATATCAATAATTTACTGAAAAATAAGATGCAAAACAAGTTCATGTGCAAAGTGAAAAAAATTATTTAGTGTGACAAGAGTTGTCTCCTTAGAGACACTTTATTCCTATTTTAAAAACAATAATGAATATAGAACAAGGAAATAATTCATATTTTATTATGATGAGTATGTTTTTAATATGCTTTGAAAATATACTGAAATGCTTAGAAAAATCCAAACATCGGTCTTGTCATGGAAACAAGAATTCCCACAGAATTTGGCAGTCCTAGCTAGGCCAACCCTAATGCACAAACACATGCATCTTTAATTTTAGAAATATCTATGTGACCCAAATTCTGGGGGAACCAATGCAAATATTCAACAAGTCTATTGGATACCTGATCATCTAAAGTTCCTACATTAAAATCCAGGAAGAGCCACCCAAGTTGCCGTCACCTTGCATGATCCATGCAAGGAAATGGGCAGACATCCCATATGTTAAGGAGACATGTCTGGGAAGTCTGTGTTGAAACAAGGCTCTGGGAGAATCAGGAGCAAAAGTCTGTCTGCAGCTGCTTGAGCAGTCACAGTCCTCACTTAGAAGCCCAAGCTTGGGTTCTGACTTGAGAGTCCCATGGTGGGAGGCCAGGAAAGGAGGGCTGCACTGGAGGGCCCTGGTGGTCATCTCCGGCAACTGCCTCACTTTACACAAGAAAACTACGTCCCAGATAAGCAGAAGGACTTTCCCTAAGGTCTACATTTTCTGCTCATTGGTACACTTCTGGTCAGCAAGAAGCCTGATTTTCAAAAGATACTCTATGCCCCATGTTTTCAGGGCCATGGATTCTGAGCGGGTCAAGGGCAGGCCTCTTTCTGGAGTCCTCGAGACCGTCCTAGATGGCTCTGCTGCCTCTCCTTCTGCCTCCAGGTGGAGACCTAGGCTGAGAGGCCAGCTGAGTTCTGGAGCTGCAAGAACTGAAGACCAAAGCAAACAGCTGGAGTAAAAGAGGGAAGGAGAGGTCAGGGCCCTGAGAGATGGCCTGGCGGAGGGCTGGTGCTCTGGAGATGTGTGTTAAATGTTGAGTAAAAATCTCCTGTTTGTCTTCTCCCACGATGCTATGTGACAAGACCCACCACACAGCCGTCCATGAGCGCTTTGCCCCTCAGATGACTCCTGGTATTCTTGGTCCTCTGGCTCCCTCAGATTTATAGTATTGTCAGAATAAAAGTGATGAATCCAGTTCAGAAGACAGCCTCCATTCCATCAGAATTCTGAACGCGGAGATCTTGACTACGGCTGGGAAATATGCACAGAAGATGGGGCAAGCACAGGCTGGCAGCCCGACCAAGCTGTGCTTCGGAGCTCAAGATTGATGAGATCAATTTTGAAGGCTTTCTGCCTTCATTTTTAGAGTATAGATGTCACCAATTCCTTTTTTTTTTTTTTTTTGCCTCTGAGCCTCATGTTTCAAACTCCATCCTTTCACAGTAATCACAGGCATCATTTTCTATAACCCATAGAAAATGAGTTGTTTTATGATAAAGTAGCATTTTAGAACGTGTGGTCTACTGCAGGGCTAATTCAATTCAGTTGGTTGTTCAGGGAATAAAAACTTTAAGACAGTTATACTCAATAAATTTCTTGAAATACCAGAAATACAAGTTTATATTTTAGTATTAAATATATCAATAAAGCACTAAACTTACCAATAAGCATTAAAATGACTTGTCAATTTTTATATCATTATTAAATTTATCAATAAACATGATATATTTTAATATATAGATCTTCTAGAGAAGGGAGCCAAAAGGTTCCAGCTGACAGAGCCCTGGAAAGCAGGAGCCCGGGTCTAGCTCTCACCACCGAATCCCCAATGGCCAACCCAGTAGCTGCCACGTAGATGCTTGTGGGATAAGGGCACAGACAGGTGACAAAATGGAACAGAATGGGCATTTTCTAATCACCCTCCAAATCAATTTCCACTTGATCTAACCAAAGAGCCTATTTTGAAGGTTTAAATATTTCATCTCCTGAATATGATATGAAGTAGAGTTTTATCCAAATTTGTCTTTTAAAGCTTCCTTCATTCAGTGCATCATTATAAACAAGAGCATAAGAACAGTCCGGCAGGAACGAATGTCGTCACCCACACTGCTCACCTGCCATGTCGATGGCAAAAGGCCTGTCTGCTCTCCAGCCGGTGTACCAGCCAACAACTTTGCCATTTTCCACCAGCGGACGTTCGTAGCGCCGCCCACCAACCAGGCCCACAGGCCAGACGGAGACCTTACGAGTGGTTCGCATCTATAAAAAGGGAAAAGACGTGTGTTTTAAGTTTCCTCAGGAGAAAGAGGGAGGAAATGAATGTGATCTACATACAAGAAGGGGGGCTGGTAGTGGTGTAATGTTGCGGGAAGTCAGGGACCCCGAACGGAGGGAGCAGCTGAAGCCGCGGCAGAAGAACATAAATTGTGAAGATTTCATGGACATTTATTAGTTCCCCAAATTAATACTTTTATAATTTCTTACACCTGTCTTTACTGCAATCTCTGAACATAAATTGTGAAGATTTCATAGACACTTATCACTTCCCCAATCAATACCCTTGTGATTTCCTATGCCTGTCTTTACTTTAATCTCTTAATCCCATCATCTTGGTAAGCTGAGGAGGATGTATGTCGCCTCAGGACCCTGTGATGATTGTGTTAACTGCACAAATTGTTTGTAGAGCATGTGTGTTTGAACAACAAAATCTGGGCACCTTGAAAAAAGAACAGGATAACAGCAATGTTCAGGGAACAAGGGAGATAAGACTTTAAACTCTGACTGCCGGTGAGCCAGATGGAACAGAGCCATATTTCTCTTCTTTCAAAAGCAAATAGGAGAACTATTGCTGAATTCTTTTCTCAGCCAGGAACATCCCTGAGAAAGAGAATGCGCCCTGAGGGTAGGTCTGTGAACAGCCCCCTTGGAGGCGGCCGTCTTTTACGGTCAAAGCCGAAAGGATGAAATAAGCCCCGGTCTCCTGTAGCGCTCCCAGGCTTATTAGGATAAGGAAATTCCTGTCTAATAAATTTCGGTCAGACAGGTTGTCTGCTCTCAAACCCTGTCTCCTGACAAGATGTTATCAATGACAATGCATGCCCGAAACTTCCTTAGCAATTTTAATTTCACCTCATCCGGTGGTCCTGTGATCTCGCCCTGCCTCCACTTGCTTTGTGATATTTTATTACCTTGTGAAGTATGTGATCTCTGTGACCCGCACCCTATTCGTGCACTCCCTCCCCTTTTGAAAATTGCTAATAAAAACTTGCTGGTTTTATGGCTCAGAGAGCGTCATGGAACCTGCCGACATGTGATGTCTCCCCCAGACACCCAGCTTTAAAATTTCTCTCTTTTGTACTCTTTCCCTTTATTTCTCAAACCAGTGGAGATGCTTAGGGAAACAGAAAAGAACCCATGTTAACTATTGGGGGCGGGTTCCCCTGATAGTGTAAAATTTCAAAAGTTAACGGTTTCCAAACAGAATCCTTCTGCTGCTAGAGTATCGTCCCCCTCTGTTAGGCTGGCTGCTATGCCATGATCTCTACTCGGTCATCAATTGGGCTGGTGGCTCAAGGTTTAGGAGAAATAAAATGGGTGTCAATATCTGGACATCACTGATTTGAAGCTAAGTTGCAACTATCAGATATTTTTCTATTTGTTTCAAAGTTGAATCTTGAAACAATACTTCTCTCTTCCAAGGTGAGAAAGTTGAATTCCCCTTTAGGAAACTTCATTACTCAGGAAGAACAAAAATGTCACTCAGAGGAGCCACAGGCACGTCCTTTCTCTGACTTTTCTATTGCTGTACATACACAGAAATCTTGGCTGGGGACATTAATAAGGGGATTCAGATACAGAACTGAACCTGGCTTCTTCCAGAGTGATAAAAAGAAACACACAGCCTGAAAATCTGCCTGCCTTTCAAGGGCAAGTGGGCCAAAATAGAGACTGCTGGAATCGCTTGTCCTTGTTAAACATAGTGGAATCCTGGTTAAACATGATGCTCAGCTGAAAGTTACTAGCTGGATTTCTTTAAGGGGAAAGAGATGCCCACAAGAAAGCTTGCTAATATTAGGCAGCACTGTAGGAGAAAATCGCTACCACCACCTTTTTCCAGGGCTCGTGTTGAACAGCTCAAAAGGCATCTTAGCATAAACTAGAAAAAGGTGCCCCTTTCTTGGGCAGACACACCCACTGCTGGAACCCATAGCTTGGCAAAGTACCAGCTGGACTTAAACTCCACGTACCCTCACTGCTGGGTGTGCCTTGGACGAGGTATAACCTGCACAACTGCATGAAGTGGTCTTGTTGTTGAGGTAATTATAATTTCAACAGCAGTGCTTTACCTTTTATTTGCTATAGAACTGAACTGGGTCATGATCAGTTAACCAGGGGTTAAATAATGATCATCAACCAAGGAATTTTTATGAAAGGAAAAAAATGATATACTTGGGAAAGATTTTCAAATACAATAGAAATGAAAGTCATATTATTAAAGAGTAAAAATAATTAGAAGCTCCCATTAACCAAGCTTCCTGGTTTTACTTATTATTATCCTACCTTGTTCCAAAAAGGGTATCTTTTTTTTTTTTTTTTTTTGGAGTCAGAGTCTCACTCTGTCGCGCAGGCTGGAGTGCGGTGGTGCGATCTCGGCCCACTATAACCTCTGCCTCCCGGGTTCAAGCAATTCTCCTGCCTCAGCCTCCTGAGTAGCTGGGATTGCAGGCACCCACCATCACTCATGGCTAATTCCAAAGAGGGGATTTAAGGGTATGAAGCATTCCAGGTAATGAGGGTCTTGCTGCATTGGTCTGCCTCAAATCTAGTTACTATTTTTAATAATCTTTATCATTTATTCAATAAATGAACTGTGACTGTCTTGTGGTAACCCATACTAACTTTTACAGTGATTTTTTTATAAAACAAGCTGAGGTACAAGTGACAGAAAAGTGTTAACAAGCCTGAGACTGTTACCTTTAGAAAGGTCTGCTTGCAAGGCTCACTCTTGGCTGGTGTCCGGGAATGCAGCTTTTGAAACATTTCCTACACTTGTAAGGTTATTTTATCTGTCTGGGCCACTGAACAACTGCTTTCCTTTCAGGAATATGAAATTTTGGTGGGCAAGGAGTGCCTATGTGACAACCCCCCAACAAAACCCTGAACTCTGAAGTGGGTTTTCCTGGGTGTAATCGTTGTACGCCTGTGGGTACATTTTCACTACTGGAGAGGTGGTGTGCTCTGTGTGATCTCAGAGGGAGGCAGGGAACACACACAGAAAACCCACACATGGATTCCTCCGGACCCTGCCTGAGGTCGTGTTCCCTTACTGATCCACCTGTGTATCCTTCTATGTCACTGTAATAAGTCTTAGCCCCAAGAACGACTATATGCTTGAGTGCTACGGGTCCTAGTAAACCACCAAACAGGGTGGTCCTGGGATCCCTGAAATACTAACATAGAATAAAATGCGTTTTTTAAAGTCTAAAATTAGACACATTTTGACATATGTATATAGCCATGAAGCCATCACCACAATAAATAGAATTAACATACTCAGCAGCCCCAGAAATTTCCTTGTGCCCTTTTTAAATCCATTTCTCCAGTCCCTTTTTATATCACCCATCGCCAGGAAACACCAATCTCCTTTCTGTAACTATACATTAGTTTGCATCCTCTAGAATCTTGTATGAATGTAATCACTCAGCACGTGGGGTGTATGTGAATGTGTGTGTGTGTAAATATAGCTTCTTTCATTTGGCATAGTTATAAAGACATTCATCTACTTGTAATGTACATTAACAGTTCACTCCTTTATTTTGCTGGATGGTATTCTATTGTGTAGCTCATACCACAGTTTACACATTCACCTGCTGAGGGACATTTGAGTTGTTTCAAGCTTTTGGCTATGACAGACGAAGCTGCTACAAACTAAATACGTGTTTACAAGTCTATGTGATTTTCTTTCTCTTTTTTGAAGATAAATACCTAGGAGTGGAATGGCTGGATCATGCACTAGGTATACATTTAACTTTTTCAGAAACTGCCAGATTATTTCCCAAAGTGCTTCTGCCATTTTACATTCTCATCAGCAGTGTAAGAGACATCCAGTTCCTCCACATCCTCACCAACACTTGCAATGGTCAATCTTCAATTTCAGTAATTCTAATAGGTACTACTATAGTGGTATCCCATTATGGTTTTAATTTGCATTATTTTAATGACTAGTGTGCTTACTGCCACCTGTATCTCTTCTTTGGCAAAAAGTCAGTTTAAATCTTTTACCCATTCAAAAAAAAAAAAAAAGGTTTTCTTACTACTGACTTTTTAGAGTTATTTATATATTCTGCATACAAATCTTTTATGTGATTTATAAATATTTTCTCCCACTCGTGGCTCATCTTTTTGAAAAACAGAAGTTTTAGTCTTGATGAAGTCCAATTCATTTATTTGTTATTTTATGGATCATGCTTCTGATGTTTTACTTAAAATATTTTTGTGGCTGTGCACGGTGGCTCATGCCTGTAATTCCAGCACACTTTGGGAGGTAGAGGAGGGCAAGTCATTTGAGGTCAGGAGTTCGAGACCAGCCTGGCCAACATGGTGAAACCCCGTCTCTACTAAAAATACAAAAATCAGCCAGGCATGGTGGTGAACACCTGTAATCACAGCTGCTCAGGAGGGTGAGGCATGAGAATTGCTTGTGAGTGTGTATACATATATATATATATAACATATATATATAAAAAATATATTTTTGCCTAATTCAAGGTTACAAGGGTTTTCTCCTCCTTTCTAAAAGTATTATAGTTGGCCGGGCGCGGTGGCTCAAGCCTGTAATCCCAGCACTTTGGGAGGCCGAGACGGGCGGATCACGAGGTCAGGAGATCGAGACCATCCTGGCTAACACGGTGAAACCCCGTCTCTACTAAAAATACAAAAAACTAGCCGGGCGAGGTGGCGGGCGCCTGTAGTCTCAGCTACTCCGGAGGCTGAGGCAGGAGAATGGCGCAAACCCGGGAGGCAGAGCTTGCAGTGAGCTGAGATCCGGCCACTGCACTCCAGCCCGGGCTACAGAGCAAGACTCCGTCTCAAAAAAAAAAAAAAAAAAAAAGTATTATAGTTTTAGGTCATATATTTAGACTATGATCAATTTTCAGTTAATTTTTATATATGGTATGAGGAACTGAAGTTCTTTTCTTTTTTTGTATATGGATAACGAATTGTTCCAACTATATCTAATTGTCCTGAACAACTGAGCT